CAAACATCTGCTGGTGAAAATGTTATTTTATTGGTCTGTTATGAAGCTGTTGCTATTTCTATTGTGTTTTTATCACTTTTTGACGTTTTATTCATTAACCAATACATGTATTAATTGTGTTATCTATAGATATAGTATTTATGTTTTTATTTATAGTGTAGTAAAGAATTTTATTTATTACTATTTAAAACACTAATATGTGACATTTATGAGTAGTGATGTTGTGCTGAGGGTTAAAATGTCTTTTTGTCTTTTTGTATACTGCAAACTGGCAATAAACCATTAAAACATGTCTGTGCTGTGCTCGTATTTATTTTACCCTAGTCAAGACAATTCCATTTATGATGCATTTTATTTTGAAAGATTTAAAATGGTTCTTTGAATAACCACTCAAGTTTCTTTAAAATGATTCTGTAAAGAACCATTTTAAAAAGGTTCTTCAAAAACCATTAAAGGTTCCCCAACGACCCATTTCTTGATGGTTCTTTGGGGAACCTTTGAAGGTTCTTCTACAGCATCAGTCTAAAGGACCACTTTTGGTTCCAGTTGACACCTTTATTTTTCTGAGTGCAGTCCTCTTCAGTGTATTCCGCTTTGCTTCCTTTGTCCTGTTATGTCTGATCATTCCCAGCTGTTCCTCTCGTTGTCCTGCCTGTGTTGGTGTTTCTCCTGCTGTCATTCTCTCCAACGTTCAGCTTTTCTCTCGTTCTTTGTCTCAGGTTGCATGCTTCTCGTTACCAGTTTAGGTTTTTCTTAGTTTATGTCACTGCCATTCTCTACTTTTGTTTGCACTTCATCCAGCCTGTAAATAAAGCTCACTCACAGGATGCCAGTCGTCAGTGCCTGCACTTGGTTCCTTCGGCATCCGTGACAAAATCATTGTTTTTTATACTTGGTGAGCCACAACCACAGAGTCCAAGCTCCACTTTCTGTCTCGTTTCTTAGGTGCTCTACTTCATTTGCTCCAAGAATATATTTATATGTGTGAGGCAGACCGTGTGATGATGAGAGAGAGCGGACCAAGCGCAGACAAACGGAGGTGTAGGCGGAGCTTAAACTGAGAGCAAGTCTTTATTCGGAGGCTCAACAAAAACACAACAAAGCTGAAACCAGGAGCAGCTAAACAAAAGAACACGAGGAACATGGAAAACATTACAAAAACCTTACAACCATGAGCAAAGACATCGAGGAGGAGGAGGAGGGGACACGGCTGACGATGAAGACGATCCGACAGAGAAGAGAGGGAAGCGCACACACAGGGAGACGAGGAAACGGCAGCTGAGACTAATCAGACGAGACTCAAAACTCAAAGCACTGACTCTTCGCCTCCTTCATGTTCACGGTGGATCATAGATGTTATGCAGTAACTTCAACTGGAACAGATGAGATGCTCCGTCAAAGGATCCACGTCCATCTTTTGCACTAACTGGCAAACATTTCTGACATTTATTGGCAAATGGAAAGATGGACAATAGCTGCCTCCTCCACAGTGTGTCTGTACATGTCAAGTTTATATAAGTCGTTCTGCCTTTTTTGTTTTTTCTTTCTTTTCCTTCTGGCAGATGGGACGGTTTCAGTTTATGAGCAGTGTGTCCCTCTGCTTGTATGTTTATTTGTTGTTGTGACTGTATAAGAATCTCTTTCAATAAAAAGACCTCGATGAAAAAAAAACTGCGAAACTCTCCAAAGTACGACAGGAAACACACGAGCGTGGAGACAAGGAGGAGGCACACAGGAGCACCTAAACACTAGAAATAATAAACAAATAACCAGAAACTCAAACGATGAGTTTTAATAACACGGAGTCGTTCTGTACCATGACAGTGTCGGTGTTTTACAGAAAGGTTCTACGTTTAGATGTTGGTAAGATCTCCTGAGCGAATTTGAAATGCATGAATATAGTAAAGCTTTCTGTAAACCAATGAACTTCCATTTTCCCTCCATCATCACCGGTTTGACTAAACGCTACTTGTACTCTCGCTGTCACAGACGGAGGTCAGAGGTCCGCCATGCTCCTGTCAAGGACCCCTGACGATGACACACTGCCTCACCGACAACAACAAGGCAGCAGTTGAAGATCTCGCGGCCTCAGCCAGACATTCCCACCCTCACTGTATGTTTGTTCTCCCATCGCCCCAACCAAGTCGTCACCAGGTGGTGATGACGACTTGACCCACGTGTCCAAAACATACAGCTGCAGATCCGATGGTATGATTACAAAATCCTGGTGCCGCATGCAAATATGAACACCTTTATCCTTCAACACGGTGTTCAATGTGTGGTTAGCACAGAGGTTCAATAACAGAACACCACTCGGGTTCACACTGGGCCGTTTCTCCCATTCAAACCTGTCCAGGTCACACTTGTGCCCACACAAGTGTTGAAGTCCCTCAGCAGAACGATGGAGCACCTCCATGAGGACGCTCTGAGCTGCTGTGTGGCACACAGACACAGACGCCAGTCAAAGACCTGTTCCACGTAGCTTCTCTGTGTCTGCTCTTTAGATTCTTCCGGTTTTATTTTGCTCAGTCTCATCACCAGCTCAAGGAAGGCCTGGAGTTTTGTATCAGTCGTGGATTAAGACTGCATAAGGCTGGAGGATGACTACTGCTCATCTTACAGACCTCCTTTACAGCCAACTCGGTCATTCTATTGGATTCCCTCCAGAATCCGGCGCATATCATAGGGACACGGAAGGTCAGCTTTCGTATCCCTGTGGGACACCTCGGGACATGACAAATCATCGGTATGTTACGCGTTGGGAATTAGAACGGTCTCCCTCAGCACACCTCTGCAGCTTATTGAATCACTGCACCCACAACAGGTGCAGACGTGGAAACCATGGTTCTACCTGTCAGGCAGAAATGTTTCCCCACGTACTCGACTGACCAACCCCTCGAGCAGCAGCTGTTGCTTTAATATAACATTTTGATAATATTCCTGCACGCTCGCAACGTTCTTATTCACCACCGAACAAAAAGGCTGCATGTCCTGAACGATCCAGCAATAAACAAGTTTGTGCATCTGCCCATAATGTTTACAGAGAGGGAACAGGAAGCTCGGACCCGTCACCGGTGGTTACAGCGATGTGATATGAATATAATTAAATATCTTGTAGAACACAAGCTACAGATATCACAAAGATCACGGGTCTGGCAAAATTGTAAAGTAGCTTGAAATGTTGTGACTTCTTAACAAGAACAACATCAAGACTGGAGCAATTTCTATCCAATCACCTGGTTTCCGTGGTTACTTAACCCACTTTTGTTTGTGAAGCAAACAAAGAGAGGCGTTCAGTGACAGCAGGGCGGCTACAGTCAAACCCATAAATGTTAATCACTTGCCCGGAGCAACACCTGGATTCTGCAGCCAATCAGACACCTTCTTGGCGCCTCCATCGAGAGAAGAGCGTGAATCGACCGGTCTGACAGGTCAATAAACAACAACGAGCTTCGCAGAAACTGACGAGTGAACTCACACTGCTTTACTCCCCAAAAGGTTTCAGATTATAAAACGTGAGGCAGGCTGCACGTTTACCCTGATCACACATCTGTCTCTAGATGTTCAAACCAACACCAGGATGTGACTGAGTCCTCGCTGCGTTCACACGCTGAACGATTCCCGAGAGCTGTGAGGCAATCCTGCAAACAGCAGAAGATCCCAGTTTGGCTTCCAGCATGTTGTTTGTGTCCCAGTGAAACAAACAACAAACTGCGAGATAAATGTAGGTCTCTGAGGTCACGGTGTACATGTGGACAGCTTCTGTTTCACTTGTTTGTTGTCTCTTTGTTTTCGTTGTTTGACCTTTTGAAATAAATCTTTGAGTTTCCATCAACGAACTGAGGCCTGGGATGTTGCAGGTACCCACGTGATGATGTCCAGTTGACCTGATTAACCCCGGAGTCCTGTGAAAAAGCTCTTTGTCAACGAGCTTATTATGAACATAAATAATACAGCGTGACTCATGCAGGGCTTTTAGAACACACACACACACACACACACACACACACACACACACACACACACACACACACACACACACACTTCAGCTCTGCCATGTTAAACACTGAGTCATTACGAAGTTTCGTCGGCTGGAGCATCGTTGGGATGAGCCTGAAGCTCATCAACTCCACCCTGCAGGGCAGCGGAGCTCCTCCCTCAGACTGAGTCAGCCATAGAGGAGCTTCAGCTGCATATTAACTCCTCATTCGGTCTCAGGGAGCACACCTGCCACCTGTCAGGCAGAAGAGCCCAAACAGATCTCTGCATTTCACCTACAAAACCTTATTATTATGTTACGTTGTGTTTTTTTGTCACACTGTCACTTTGTTGCTCTTGTTTGCACATTTGCACGTGCACTTTGCTGTCTGTTAACAAAAAAAAGTCTTCCTTAGATAGTTAGATAGTTTTTGTTCATTTATGTTAGGCCAGTCTGTCTTGTCTCTGCTAGCCAGCTAACTAGGCCTCTTAGTTAGCTAGTTTAGTGTTTTCTGTTAATTTATGTTGTAAATTTATGTTGCATGTAGCACCTTGGTCCTGGAGGAACGTTGTTTCGCTTCACTGTGTACTAACTGTACATGGTTGAAGTGACAATAAAGCCAACTTGACTTGACTCATGCTGTTTTGCTCACATTCATAGTCTACAAATGATTTATGAGCGAGGTTTGCACTCGTCTCTCATCTAGAGGAAACTGTTCCGTCACCTGTTGGACTCCCACCATCACAGGTGTATTTCACCTCAGTGCTGCTATCTTCTCAAATTACCGTTCCTGTTTGAGCAGGTCTTTTATTAAAAGTCTGAAGTAACCAACCACAACAGCAGTTGTCGTGAGCTGACACTGTATACATAATATAATAGATAAATGATGCTGCCGCCTGGCCTCAAACCTGTGTGACAGGTCAGCCCTGTGCGGCAGCCTCACCTCAGCAGGGCGGGAGGGGCGCTCGTATGCCGTCACCTGAGGGGACGAGCGCCCCCCTCCTGTATAAGACAGATGCTTCAGCATCCACAAACACACTCCGGGTGGCAGCAGTCATGGCAGACTTCGGTGGCAAACCCGGGGGAAATGATGGGATTGCGCGTGCTTTGGGACAGCAAGCCGGTGAGTTTGAGGAAAATCTCTCAGATTTCATCAGCTTTAAATATTATTTCAAAGAAGAGAAGAGTTTTTATTCTGCTGTCTGCAACAGCTTCAAACCTCAGAGAGTTTCCTTCAAAAGGTTCAAAGTATGAAGCTAAAATGAAAGATTTTTAATTAGGTCATAACAGTTGAGTTGAATCTCTTCATTAGAAATGTAAACTTACGACCTCTGTTTATTTTCTATTATCATGATTATGATTATCTTACTTTTTCTGTGGTTATCTAAACTGTCCACGCTTTTTAAAATCCTTTTGCTCTTTAAGCAAAAACAGAAAAACGGATAAAATGTTGTGTGGCGATCGGCTGACTGAGCACTCACACTTTAGTTCAGACTCACAACCAGGAAGCGATAACACTGTCTGATACTAAATCACAGACTTTATGAATGAGCAGTCATTTCATTTTCAGTCTGCAGTAAAAAAATTTTTTAATATTTAACGTAATTTTTGGACTTTGTTGAGAAGACGAGGTGTGCAACAACATCGATGCAAACACCAACACCGACAGTTCGCCGGTTTGTCCGTCCACATTCCTGCGTGAAACTGACAGGAATTTCCACACAGCCGTGTCGGTGAGGGCGGCCTTGTTTACAGTGCAATCAATCATGTTGTCATAGAAACGTCAATGCAAAGTAAGTGTAATTATCGCACTCGGCCGTCGTTGTTCAGCCTGTTCTGCAAACTCAGCCGCTGAAGCTCAGGGAGCAGACACGAAGCACAGCAGGTACACGCCCACGTCACGCACGCCCACACCGCCCATCAGGTACTGCAGACACAAAAAGAGGAAACTGGTCCATGCGTACCCTTCCACAGCAACGCTAACGTGAGGCCAGAAGCTTTAGAGAGCAAGCTGAGGCCGCCAGCTCCAACCTAGCTGCTCAGCATGTCTCCAAAAGTAGGGTCACCACAAACTAGCAGCACTACACGCACAGACACGGTTCACCTTTCAGCGGCCGTGGCTCCTGTTTCTTCCCTCTGCCTTCCCTGACCTTTCTTCCATCTGTGGCTGTGGAGCTGTGTCGGCAGGTTGCAGATGGCCAAGTACAGATGAAATAGCTCACGCTGAAAGTAGAAATAAGCAGTAATAATCAGTACATATAAATGTGATGGTGAGAGCCCTTCAGGTGAGGATGCCTAAACGCTGTTTGTTGTGCAGGTAAGGTGGTGGAGGGTGCAGTGAAGAAGGGCATGAGTGCATACGCACAGAAGGGGCAGAAGGGTGGCCAGGAGGGTGAGAAGAAGAAGGAAGGAGGAGGAGGAGGAGGAGGAGGAGGAGGTCTCAACATCGATGACGTGCTGTCATTCGACGGTGGAAACAAAAACGGGGGTCAGGGAGGTGGAGGAGGTGGAGGAGGTGAGCGCTGCCTAATGGAGCAGCATTTTTAAACATTTTGTGTTTACATGTGACTTGGCATCGTGCAGGATGAAAGCAGAAAGCTGATTTAGACCAAATATTTAAATTTGATGTGATTTCATTTTGAATTTGATGGCACCCTGTCGTGTTATCATCCAAAAAAAATCAAACCTGTACAGGTGTTATGAAAGAGGAAAATACCCACAGAGGTCAGTGTGTGGGAGCCGACTCGCTGCTGCCTCTGCTGGACGTGGGAGGAACTGCAGCTTCAGAGACGGCTCCATCTGTGTTTGTCTGATATTAATTTCTCGTTTCTCTCTCAGGTCTGGGGAACGTCGTTGGCGGGTTATTTAAATAGAAAACCTCCTTCAGCCCCATCAAACCTCCACCTGCAGCCTCCTGAGATGACTACATCATATCATGTTTGCTGTGTTTTATCTTCTTTCACTTCATGTTCAGCAGAAAATTCAAATTCTTCCGTCTGATTGTTTTATGATTATTATCATTATATTGTTTGTCCTGCCTTAATAAACAGGCACAATTAAAAGAGCTTTGTCACCAGTGTGCATTACTTCCTGCTTTATTTGTTTAGTCAGATTTAAGCAGTGTCCCAAATCAGGGTCTGCATCCTCCTGAGGCCGCATCTGTAGGCCGATTACGTCACAGCGACGTGACGAAGGCTGCTCCAAATGCGGCCGATAAATGCGTCCTTCATTTCCCCGGATTTGAAGGATGGCTCAGGTGTACAGACTGAGGGACCCACTGCTGCACATCATCTGTGAGGCTTTGCAGCCCTGATGATCCACCAGGACAAACTCAGCAGTGTGTGAGGAAGAGGAGGAGGAAGAGCCAGCAGCAGCTGACAGATGGAGAGAATAGACAGACTGTTCCCTGTTTGTGAAGGACTGCTAGGAAAGTTTAACATAACTGTCTGTGCTGAATCAGTCTTATTAGGTAATGTTCACATAATGTTATCATCCCAGTGTTTCCAGTGTGGGAGAAAGTACTCAGAGTACTCAGGGCCTTCAAGCTACACACTATGAAAGGCAGCAACAAGTTTAATGTTCAGAAACCTAAAGTCTGTATCAGCAGCAGGATGGAGCTAAAATAAATGTTGGTTTCAGTTCTCTGAAGCTTTGAGTATTTTGGATCAGTAGCTGCTGTGTTTGTTGCATCATATTGCTGTAATTGTTTATATGCTTTATATATTCTGAGCTAAGTTGATCTATAGTGTTACATCATATTCTATAAGGATGTTATGTGTTTGTAGACTTTCTGCCCAGTTTGACCCATTTAGCAGACGTCAGCCTGTTTAAGGCTCTGATATCTATTCTGTGTGACTTAAAGAATAATCCTTTAATTGTCCCACGGGGGGAGATTTGGTTGTAACAACAGCAATAAAAACAAATATACAAACAAACAGGACACAGAACAGAAACATACACTTTTTTTTTAAATATTTACATCAAAGACCATAGTTACCAAAAACAGAGTACTGTACAGTTATTAAAATTAAATACAGATAAGAGGCAAACCCAGGCTGTAGTGTGAATTGGTTAAAGCAGTTATGACATGGTCTGATTTTCTCACCCAATAAAGGAATATTTCGTATATCAGTCGACTCTTCATTCTATCAGACACAGTTATCACAGCTCCTACATTTGCTGTTTACACATGCATGTAAGCATTGAGCCAAATTTAGTGATGCCAACATATTAAAAGAACAATATTTGTCTCTTATATATATAATACATCTGTATAAACACTGTCAAAGATACTTACTTGTCTTTGAGTGAAGATTTAAGGTGAGGAAATATAAATAACTGCAGCTTGAATCTTTACTGAAGCTCAGTATTAGACACAGAGTTCAAGATCACTGCTGTAATAACTAATTAGGACAGAGGCCTTAGACCTCCTGTCCTAATTTCCTCTCCTTTCTATTATTGTACGATCTACTGTACGATATAAAGCGCCAATATAAATTCCAATTAGTTGAAGAGATCAAAGCATTATTCAGGTTATCAAGCTTAAGTAAAATATTCTAACACGCTGTGAAAAGACTTAAACGTTATAGACTTCATCTGTGTAAACAAGCTTTTTTGTGAACTCTAAAATAAGCCTGTTTTCAGCTTTGTGACCTTTTTGCGTAGCCTAATGCTCTCCAAATTCAGGGGCAGCATGCTTCAAAGGACCCGACCCACCTGGTCCACGTAGGACGGGTCCTTCAAAGGCCGGGTAGGCCAGAAGTGCGGAAGCGTAGAGCTGCCACCCAGGCAAAAGAAAAATACAAGTGTATCATGTTATAACGTGAAAGGTTTATTGTTCTAACAAGATACTTTTCCTGTTTGTACAATATAATATTTTTATTGTACGAACGTGATATTATGTGGCGCTAGTGACCAAACAAAAAGCGCCACAGCGCACACTGTTAAACCTGGCACCTGGCAGACACACCCACCAGGCCTGAAGAACCGGTGCTCTGTCACACCCACACACACACACACTTATACACAAACACATGGAAACAAAGGGCAGCAGCACCAAAAATACACATGCTTCTTCAAAATCCCTGGATCCTTCAGACCCAGGCCGGTGACACCGGCTCCTGTCATGTTCCTGCTCGCTTGTGGCGTTCAGCTGAGCAGCTGTTGCTGTCGGTACCAATGTCGCGGCCAAAACTCAGGAGAACGAGGGTTCTCAATTGCAGCTCCGATGCTTCCCCTCCATATTAGACAAGCGTCATCAGTGCAGGTCTTTAAATCCAGATTGAAAACCTATTTTTATTCCCGGCTTTTAACTCTGTAGGAAACTGGCACCTTTCTTCTCAGTTTTATTGTATGTTTAATTTTGCTTGTTGTGTTGATTTGTGTTGTTCAGCACTTTGGTCTGCCTGCTGTGTTTTTAAAGTGCTATACAAATAAACGATGATGTTGAAATATTAAAGGTAAAAATATTAATGCTGCAGTAGAATATTCCGACTGCTACAGGTGTTTAACTTTGAGCTCATTTTAAATACTTCATATATTCTGTTTATGCATCATATTCTATAAATCATGTGTTTACATGACACGCAGCACAATCACGTGTGGATGTCCACATATCTACGAAATCCGCTGAAAAGGCTCGAGCTGTGTGGGAAATGGTTACAGTAACCGTTGGGATCTACAGGGTTATTAAAATGTAAATGAAAAATGAAGCTCTGGCAAAAAAAGTCAACAGGCTGTAAAGTAAAAGAGTAAAATGTCTGTGACAGCGCTGTGGGACACGGGGACACGGGGAGAGGACAGCGCTTTACTTTTAGATTTGTCCTGCTGGGACACCACTGCTCCAAACGAATGCACAAAACCATCACCGCAGCACAACAAACAGCAGTTCAGCTGTCAGAACCACACTCTGTGTTTTACATTTCTGTGAGGTCACAGCAGGTGGAACAGGTCGAGCTGGTCTGCAAACACACCTGAGAGGTGTCACCGGCTCCACCTGCCTGAGAAGGGAAACGTCTCCTCACAGCAACACAGAAAATCACAGACATGGACAAACTGGCCGGGATTGTCGGGAAAAAAGTGGGTGAGTGCAAAAACATAATAATGATAAATGGAAAAGAAGTGAAGCTGATTCGTTTTTCTGCTCCTGCTTCGATTGGTGGAGCAGGCGGAGCTGCAGTCAGGTGGAAACTCAAACTTATGTTTTTTTAGTTGAGCTGATGCACAGACAACAGTAACAACAACTCTTTCAGTGTGCGCTCAAATACTGGACTCAACAGGACAGCTTTTTTCATAATGCTCAGACACATCACAGACTCTGATTCACTTTGATGGTGAGAAACACAAATGACAGTTTAATTCTTTTATCTTTAATAGTTTTGATATTTTCATGTTCAAGCGTTGTCTCAGATTTCAATGTGTAAAAAATACTTTTACAGCTTACATGACAAAGTCGAGACTGGACAACCTTTCTAAACCAGTACGATACACAGTGACATTGCAAACATGCTCACTGTGATCTCACAAGTTCAAGTGAGATCATCTTTTCAAAGATGGCCTCCGGAGCTGGAAAATATTGTTGGAAAATTACTCTCGTTGGGTTCAGCTGAGTGATTATTACTGATTATCAGTATTAATAGTTACCTGGCATGGTTTAACATCCATAAAGCCTTTATACGAGTCACAGTGGGACAACACCTGATTCTGCGGCTATAAAGGAAACTGAGGAAGAGGAAGAGGAAGTGGAAATGCAGGAAAGAACGTCGTGTATACCCATTATTTTAAACTTGTGCTTTTCGTACAGGAGATGCGGTGGAGGGTGCGGTGAAGGGCGCTCTGCATTTAGGGAACAAAGACAAAGACAAGAATAAGAAGAAAGGTGGAGGAGGAATCTTCTCACGGACAGGAGGCGACAAGGACAAAAAGAAGGAGGTGGACAAGGGCGAAGACAAAGGAGGACTCTTCAACAGAGAGGACGAATATGAGAAGGAGCGGAAGTCCGGATTCAAGGGTCTCTTCACTGAAGGGCCGCTCCCTGAAGCTGGCGGTGGTGGCGGAGCAGCGATGGAAGGAGAAGCTGAAGAAAAACCACAAAGTGCTTCTGCCAACGATGGAGGTACGTATGAGGAGCAGGACTGCACATCGCTCCGTCACACTGAAGCCTCTTTGTATATAGCAACCTCGGAAGTGTACAAGCTGTGCCGCTGAATGGATTCGTTCATAATGTCTCACTTTTGGTTCTTCTCAGATTTGCTGGATGATCTTTTCGAATTGGCTGAAGAAACATCTCAGGCAAACTAAAACAGGAAGCTGTAAAGCACATCCCGACCCCCGAGGAATCAACTCCCACTCCTGAATAAAGACTAAAAAAAAATCCACTTTTTTGTCCGTCTTTCAGAAACGCACAGCTTCAGGCAGATAACTCGTAAGCTGGAAAGGAAATGGCGTGCCACAAACCATTAGAGGAAAAATGACCAATAATCATCCCACAGATGTAATATTATCTACAGCTACTTTCAGTACATTGATGTTAAGTTAGACTCTTTTTCTCCAACTGATCTTTCTGAGTTAACTTCAATAATTACTTCCTCCAAGCCATCAACGTGTCTTTTAGACCCCATTCCTACAAAACTGCTCAAAGAAGTTCTGCCATTAATTAATGCTTTGATCTTAAATATGATCAACCTATCTCTAATGATCAGCATTTAATCATTTGTTATTATTAGAGCTGTCAGCATTAACATGGGTCAATCCAACCAATCACAGCAGATGGCCCCGCCCCTCCCTGAGCCTGGTTCTGCTGGAGGTTTCTTCCTGTTAAAAGGGAGTTTTTCCTTCCCACTGTCGCCAGAGTGCTGCTCATAGGGGGTCACATGATTGTTGGGTAATAAAAACTAAAATGCTTGAACATGGACTTTAAATACATTCATTTATTGTTTCTGGTTTGGTTGTCCTTTAATATTGAATAAATTAAATGAATAAATTAGTTATGTGGAATTATTACTCTGGTCAAACAGAGTCTCTGAGGTAGCTCATCACACACATAAATAATCCATTTCTATGAACT